ATATACTTTTGTTACACATTTTTTGTGATCTGCAATATCCACTGGGTGATCGTTGTAGAATTTCTAATCCCATATACGAATCTGGAAGCAGAATTGTTCTATCACCCTCTGTTTTTTTTTTAAATATTCAGTCTTAAAAGATAGAGGAGAATTTATTGAATATATCAGTGTATACAGTTATTAAATTTTGTGGTTTTAAATAGTTATAAATGACCATAAAAATTTTAAAAAGAGCCAATGTGCATACTTTCTGCACAATAGTTTTGCATTTTTACCTAGCACGAAAGGTTTAAAGTTTTTTATCAAGCACGAAATCGCAATACAGTATCGGATTCTGTTGACATTTCTAAAGAAGAACAATATAATCTATTTTTCTGGGTAATATTTTCATTATTAGCGACAAATAATGTTATACGAATTTTATATTTTCTATGTTTACTAAGTATGAATACTCCAAGTTACATTTTTAATAAAAAGGTAATAATATAATAGGATTTCGAACTATCCCGCACTTGAGATTAAAGTATCGAGTGAAAATCGACCACAATCGAATCGTTAATCTGTTAGAATTCGATATGGAGTCTAATTTACATACATATACGTCGCACATGGTTTGTTGTGGCGTAAATATAAGCTTCTCAAATTAATGGTGTCTGGGAAGATAATCCTATTATGATATTAAATTGATAAGAAATGTTGCATATTTCTGCTTTGCAACAGCTTCACTGTAGTTTGCTTGAACAGAAGTGGACATAATCGAATGTAGACACCGGTTTGTGCGATAAGATTGTTTTGTGTTTTCTGAGACGGGTGTGTGACAGTTGTATATGTTTTTCCTATCAAATGAATATAATTTTTACTTTTTCATTCGACAAATCTAAACGAATCTAATCGTCATGATAAATTTGTGGTAATGTACATCGTACTTGAGAGTGTTTATTTTCCTTGACTTGTGTTAACAACCTGAATACAATCTTAAATGCATAACATTGAACCGTTCAAACTGCACACCTTGCATTTTTTGAGAAATCTGTGCCATATTTTGACGTTATGCGGTTTGAAATGACGCATAAAACACTGAAGTAGTGACTACTATTTATAGGTTATAATCGGCAAGGTCAATAGCGGCAACGGCGAACCATAAAGTAATATTTAATGCAAATCTTATGCATCGGCTTCAAGTAACAAATATACGCGTAGAAATGCCGTCAGGTCAAATACATCAAAGTAATTTCGTCGGTACAAGTGAGAGTGTGAATCCTGGCACAGAGATAGCATCAATTTGTTGTACTCCTCCTCCTTCACATCATAATATTAATTTACCTCTGCCACATCCATCTACTTTGACTAATGATCGTGGTGCACCTCCTTCCTATGAAGAAGCCATAGATCCAAATGGTAAATTTCATTTTTAACAAAAAAGACTTAATTAAATACCTTGCAATGGTATTGTAAAAGTATTTAATATATGTATATAAAAATCAATTTTGAATTCCTTTCATCTAAACTGGGAATACTTCTGTTTATTTTAATATCAAAATGATTGTTTTTATTTTCCAGCTCCTCCTCCACCCTATGATTCATTGTTTGGTCGTATGAGAGAAGCACATAAAGTTTCAAAAGGAGTGTTTGATTTTCTGAAAAATATTCTGCTCTTACTTTTAGGCACTAGTAAGCAATAATGTGAATTATGGTTTAATATAATTTTTGTACAAAGAATTATTAATTTTATATTTTGGTGATTTCAGTTGGATGTACTGTTGTCTTAGGAATGACAATAATACTTCCAATATGTATGATGGTCATTGGAGGACTTTATCTTTATGATTGTCCACAAGGAGAATATATTCCAGTTTATTTACTAGTGGCTGGTGGTTTTGGCATTTTCAAACAGTTACTATATTTATCTGCAAGAGTGCGTCATGGTCAAGAAGAACAAGATGAAGAAAGAATACGACAATCTCCTATTCAAACATTAATTGATTGTTTTATGCTTGGTTGGTTTATCATAGGTCAGTAATATGAACAATATCTTAATTGGATATTTATTTGACGTTTATAACCATTTTATCCCTATATTTTTCTGTGTTCAATAGGTTCAATGTGGGTGTATAAAGAATATGAACCAAATTATGATCCAGCTCTTGGAAAATATTGTAATAAAACATTATATTTATTCGCCTTTGGGTTAATTACATGTGTTTACATATCATGGGGTTTGTTAACAGTTTGTTTGTGCAGCATTACATTAGCAAACCTTGCATTTCACTGGCAATGAATCAATGAAACAACATGATCTCATTTTAAAGAGGAAAACTGTTGTTCAAAAATTTAATCAATTAAAAAATTATTTTGGAAACAAAACGATGAGTATTATGAAAGAAAAAACTCTGCGGACATGTAAATCATGTCATATCAGGGCACAAAAATTCGTCCATGCTTTACGTACCTGAGATGCTTAAAACAACAATCTATGAACGGATCATTTGCACGTTAAACGCACAGAAAAGGCGATCGAGTTTCGTAATTTGATACTTGTAATCGTTTGTAGCAGTGTTTTTTGATTTATCGTGCACACAGTTTTTCAATGGCTTGACAATTAAATTATGAATCACATTGAATGAACGTAGCAAAATCAATTGATCTCTCAAAATTGATATGCATATAAGGAGAACAAAAAAAAGATAGATGATTATTGATGGTCTCTGAAACACTTTGAATCGCTTCGAATATGTACATGTGGCGAAAAATTAAAATCACTCCGAACATAAATCAGTACTTAAAACTCTTAATAAGTCTTGAATCCTGAATCTTGATAAATCTCAGGTTTTGACAGTTTCGATAGGTTTTGAGGTTTTTTAGTTTCTGTGTTTGGATTCATTTTGATCAGGAGAATTTCACGAATTTATTGGTACTACTTTCATAAACATAGGATGAAAATTAGAAAAATTGAAATTTTTGACTTTGAATGATAAGTTTTATCGATTTATGTTAGAAGTGATTTGAATTTTCACAGTATTGAAAACATTCGAATCGCTTCGCAATTGAGATTCAAACGCCCATTACACCAATTTAGGGCTGTGGATATTTCGCAATAATGGCGAAATACCTTTTGATATTGTGCCAAGAAATCGCAGAGTCGTAGATCAAAATATTTTGACATTTTTCACACGTGTCTTTCTAAAATCACTTCTTAAATTTTTTCCCAGGAATAGCTGAATACTCTGTATATACCTAGTCCTACCATAATTTGTGTTGTAAATATATTGTGTTATTATAAACAAATAGGAAAGGTTACAATCTCTAACTGATCAGAATTTATTTAACGGTTCTAAGGATATTTCACTAGATGCTTTTGCTAAAGCTTTCTTCAAGCTATCCAAATTGTCTCTGCCTTTTATTCTTAAGAATTCATTATAATGTTTTACAACACGTTAGACGAACATTTTTGAAATTTGTAATGGTTTCAAAAGATCGAAAACCTGGCTAATACTTTTTTCGTAATTATACAGAGCCATACAGCAACACGATCTATGTTGACCGTATGAAAGAGAAACTCAGACTGACTTCTATTACTTACACAATGGTATAAGTGCTTTGAAAAAATAGCCGTTTGGCATACCGATACCTTTTGTTTCTGTCAGAGAGCGTGTCTTAAGGGTACGGTGTCCATTTCAGAGTACTGGCGGAGAGGTGGGCACACAATTTGAGAATACTCGGGAGCAACTGTCATAAAAAACCCTGAGATGCACACGTACTCTGATACTTTGTAACAAAATTTATGGTAGGACCAGGTGTATGTGTATATGTACATTAAATACACGCTTCTTTTTAGTATTTCGAAACTATTTGAATGCTAGTGTTTATTAGTATTGTTAGAAACAACAAGTTTTAAGAAATTGTAACAGATTGGTATTTACATAGGTTGACATATGTAATAGAGGAAGGAGAACTTCGATCAGATAAGCAAAATGTGTTTGTCGACGTTTTATTACTGTAACAACGTTTCTTCCACTTTCATACAACTTGTTTACCTATACCTTTCAACGCATGTTCGTCTTCCTATTTAAGTCGAATTTAATGAAATACTGTAAATATGCACATACTTCAAAACCATTTCTCTCTCTCTCTCTCTCTCTCTCTCTCTCTCTCTCTCTCCATACACATATATACACACTCAGAAATGTTTTCATCGACGAACATACTTTAAAAATACACATGCTTGCACGCCATAAAAAGGAAAAGGAGAAAATAAACAATACGAGGGAGCTTACGCTATTAAGAATATAGAGGATGCAAAAAATATGTTGTATATCAATGATTATATAAAATTGATCTTTCAAGTAAAGTTCAATAGACTACCATTAACTTCGATCTGAACGTACGCTTATCTGTATTATGAACACACACCGACATTCTATTTATCGCTGATTTTCAATGTGTGGCGGTACCACCTACGCTTCGCCACCAGAGGGACGGACGAACATTAACCTTTCTAACTAGTCCTCGCCGTCTTCTATTACTATTTATTTATATGTATATACAATTTCTAACCCGGATCTTCCATCCTCTGCGTCTAAGGCCATGGGTCTCTTAGGTAGCTTTAATTTGACGAGTCCATTAGGACGTCAAGGGCGAAACGCATCTTTCTTTCTTCCTTTATTTTTTCGCCTATCCTCTCTCTATTTATTTCCTCCTTCCATAATCAACTGTCCAAATGTATAAGAAATCTACGTGCATACATACACATACACTTTGAATACTGACGAATGCAATTTCTAAACAAGATCGCTACGTGTGCCTGTAAAATTATATTCTTTACATTGTCTAATATTATCGGCACATACGCACACTTGTTATTATAATTTCCAAAATAAACTACTTGTAAACATGTTACTTTTTTATCTAATCACATGTATGATAAATTGAATACAAGTACAAGTTTTTATTGTACTACAATTATTCTTATGTATTTCTTATTTTTCATCCTGAGAAATATCTTAATCGTGTTTTCTAATCCTTTTCCCTTTACAATATGTAAAAACTTTGGTGGTACTATTTAATGTAATTATGTTAATATATTAAGAACAACAAAATTGTTGCTGTATAATTGAATAAGGGATTATTTAAATGTACAAATATTTGCAAATATTTTCTTTTCGTTAGCTAAGATTATAATTTTTAAGGAAATTAAATGTAAAAATCAGGTACTCGATTTTTGCACTTCGAAATTAAAAATAATACGAAATTTGAAAAATATGTAGTTTCTCTTTATTTTCTTCATAATTAAAATGTAGTATTACTAGTAGTAATTCGATAATGTTTTATTTTTCGAAAAATCTCAGAAACACTTTAATAAATCAATTTATCGGAGAAGAGTTAATATAATAACTTATCATACATCTCATTTTTTCCAATTAAATTGCTGTAAGAGATGGTCTACGATAATTATTTTCTTCATAGTAATCCTCGTGTTCACCCTCGTATTCGCCTTCATATCTTAAGTATTGTTCCGGCACTATCGACAGTTCCTCCGAACATTTATCTACTAGAGAGTCCAAGGATACCTGAAATAATTACGGCATTCGTTTAGAACTTCTAATAAGTCAACTTTTCTTTTACTTAGAATTCCAAAGAAACGTATTTTCTTTGATTTAAAACTTCTAAGAAGATGATATTTTTTTTCCCATTTCCTTCAAGTTTTAAGCGTTTTTGAAGTATCGATTATCGATCGTAACATTATCGATATCAAGCGTTTTAGTCTGGCGAATCAAATTTTACGCGATATTCCAAACATTTGTGTAAAGTATATTTAGATATCATTTTTAACTTACCTTACGGTACAATATACAGATTTATGGTACAGTTTCTTTACGCAATTAATTGAACTATATAAAAAAATGTTTTCCTAGTACTGATAGGAACAAAACTAAATAAAATAAATTTAAAGACAAATTTTATTTAACAAATTGTTTTCACTTATATGTATCCTTACCTCTTCTTGTAGAGGTACTGGTTCAGGTGGCAACAAATCAGGATTATAAGGTGTAATACAACGTACCGCCATAATGGTATAACGCCTTTCTTCAAAGATGGCGGCTCGAATAATACAGGTTTTTCAGTTTCCGGCTTTACAACGTCGGTTTCTGCATTTTCTAAGTTTTCAAGTTCTGCTGCAGTACCTTCTAATCTTGTAGGTGCAGTTTCTGCAACTAGTTCTTCCTGTATAAAAATCAAAATTTATCGGTTTTTTAGTTATATAATTTTATCGAAGTTTGTCTTTCATATAATAGTCAACAATATGAATAATAATAGAGGAAAGTAGTAGAAAGAAGAATCATTTCTCATTTTTACTATTACTTAATATTTATTAAATTTATTTGCAGAATTATTTTCACTTGAGATTTGTATTTATTTGCGGAGAAATTAATTTCAGACACTTGATACAATAAATATTTTTACAAATACCTCGGTAGTTTCATCTTTCGTTTCATCGTAGTTAGGATCTTTCACATGCACATAGTGTCCATGTTGCATGCAAGCATTTTCAAAGGTGAAGCATCCACGACCATAGGGCTGTGATTATATATTCTTTAAGTTTCTCCGATAAAACTTTAAACAACCTAATAATTTAATAGTTCTCTAAATAATAATGATGCAATAATTCCCTTCAAATAGTAATGTTTCAATCTCGAACTTGTTTCATCAAAATTTTATGATATTCTAATTTAAATAATAATATCCTCTAAATAATGCATTTTTAATCTTGTATATTTGTTAATTCACCAGGTTCAGTTCCCAGTGTCCGTGGAATCGATGTCGAGAGTAAATCAATTGTCCAGGTCCTTGCATACGATCCTTGATCCACGTGCCCATAAATTTTGTGTTTGTATCGGCGTAAAGGTAAGATCCCATACCATGTCGAAAATGTTTTTTCCACGATCCTTCATAAACGTCTCCGTTTATGTAATAATATACACCAAAACCATATTTCATGTCGCGCTTCCATTCACCTACAAAACACACTTATCCTGCACACGATGCACCAAAAATATTCCTTCCGTTCTTTTTCCAATTAATATATTCACTAAGATCTATTAGACTATATGTAACAAAAATGTTGAAAAACATAAAGTGATAGATCGTTTGTGTACTATCTTATATTTTTATCGAGATATGAAGGTCACCTTCAGGACAGAAGTTGTCAGAAATCAGCTCCAAATACTTAACAATATTAAAAAAAAAATTTGGCGAATAAACGCTAATTACGGTCACTAATAACCAAAATGCGACCTTAAATTATATTTAAAAAAAAATTTCCGATAAACTTAATTTGTAATAGTTAAACTTTTTTTTATTGACCCTGTTTATTTATACCGATTTGCTGCTTTACCGATAATATTTGAATTAATATTTATAATTTCAATCCTTAAGTTACTTGAAACACATTTGAAATGTACAACTTGTGTAACAATTTCTGCAAGTAAGTGCACGGTTGTTTCTTACCCTCGTATCGCGTTCCGTCCGGATACCAAAAGGTTCCTTGACCGTATTTAAGGCCTCGCCTCCATTCACCGTCGTATCGAGCACCGATTTTAAATACATACAGCCCTCGACCGTGCCTTAACCCTTTACAGTATTGGCCAACGTACATGTCGCCATTGGGAAGCAAAGCTTTTCCGTAGCCGTGTCTGTCGCCTTGCGCGTTTCGTTCACCTTCGTAAAGCTGCGATTGTTTGATTTTGCAGTATGTTTGTCGAAGATATTGAAAATTTTCCGATATTCAAATTTTAGTCAAATTTAACCGAGCATGGGTGTATTATGTACATGTATGCTATAAGAAGAAACATTCGCAATTTCATTTGGATAATTCAAAATTTTGTGCATACGGGTGACCAGAAGTGTAAGACTGCCTAGGTACCACGGACAAAGTGTTTAGGTTAGGAAGCATGGAAATGTAATTCCAACGAAGCATTACGATGATTACTTAGAACGTGAAAAGCAATACCTACCCCCAGCGGGTTTACTTCGTCTTCTTCTCCCTCGCCAGTAACCTCTGGATATTGTGACATTTTTACATTGTACGCGAGATGTTCCTTCTTTCATGTGACACACGAAAAGACGTAAACTTAGAAATTGTATTGTTTTGTTATTATTTGTTAGTGACTTCGTTTTGAATTCAGTGAATGTATTGTTGTATACACGGTGTTTCATTTATTTTGACTATCTTTCAATATTCTTGCTATTTTTTATAAGTAATATTTTTAACTTTAAAACATTTTTCAATTGTATGCAACACGTTGAAAAATAGGAAAGTACAACTGTTTAAATTCCCAATATAATTTTAATTCCAAATTATTGAAATAAAATATACAAAAAATCAATATTAAATTTTTATAGTATTAGAAGTGTTTACAAATAACCTATGAATAGAAGTACATAATAAATACACCACTGAAAAATCAATTGAGGTAAGAATTTATTTCCAATCACTTTGCATATCATTTTATGCGGCAGTCATTGCAGAATAAGATATAACAACGTTCCATCGTGCACGCTTCTACTTTTGTGAATTAAAATTTTTAAAAACGTGTATCAATCAGCTAGCTGTTAAGCTTTCATAACAATGACGACCGTTTGAAACAAAAAATAACACTGGCGAATTAGGGTAGAAACTGAATTAATATTTCGACTGAGGAAAAGAATGAGGGTGCTCCATCACGTCACCGGCCGGTCAACAAACCAATTAACGCCTGCTTTTCCTTCTCTTTTTTCCGTACTGTCTCCAAATTTCGTTGCTTCCACGAGCTCTTCCGTAGTTTTATGGGACGTGAACCTACGTATCGTCCTGGAAAAAAAAAACAGTTTCATTAGATTGACGTTATTCTTACAGAAGGAAAAGAGGGAAATTTCTTTTCTTTAGGTTTTACGGGTAGAATAAATTTGGACACTGTTAACACACTCAGACTGGGGTTATTTTTTCGTAAAATTTATTACATGACGAAGTCTTAGTTAATGATAAATTTCCAGTGTGTGTGTAATATACTAAGAAGGTAACATTCCCAACTGTCACTCACCGATTTTTATTAAACTTATATATGAAGTAGTTCTCCAAAAAATATTTAACACGTTTTTTTTTCAGCCACCATTCATGTTGAAGGGGCGAAAATCGCCCTCAAAGTCGAGGATAGTAAACATATTTAATCCAATATCTCGAAACCTATTAGACATAGAAAGGTGGCGTAAATTGTACGGAATTTGTACTTCTGAACGACGAATGTAGCTATGGAAACAGATTAAAATAAAAATTCCGTTCGTTTCTTGTAAAATATTTATCGATTTTTGTACAAAGTTGTGTATATAAATTACATACCCAAATACAAATTACGGATAAACCAGAAATTTTATTTTTTGCAAATTAAAAGAAATAATTATTCTAAAAATTTGTTCTTATTTTATATTAGTTCGAGGCTTACAGCAAGTATATTTGAAATACTGTACGTGTTTATAAGTTTCCCGATTGTATTATACTATGTGTTGTTAATTATTTTCCAATCGACAGAATTAATATCCCACGTGTGAAAATTGAAAAAACTACGGCATACCGTGACAGAAGATAACGCTGGACTGTCCCGAACTGACTTTCTACCCAAGTCAACGGGTAAAGCTACATTTAACGGCTCATTGTGACGTTAATTTCCAAATAAATTACATACAAAATATTGACATTTTGTAAAGAACACTTCAGGAAATGTAATAATATTTTTTTCAAATTTTTACAAGTAACGTTTTACCCAGAAATCTGCAAAATAAAAGTTTATTTATAATTTTTGGGTGGTAATAATAACTTTCTGTTCTTTAAAAAAATGGCTCAAAAAGCTTAAACTCACCTGAGAAAAATGAAGAAAAAATCATGTCCGTACGAATAATAAGTTCCTGTGATAAAAATTCATTTAACATATCTAGACACGTCGAACCCGCAATTTTCGTCAACATTATCTACTTAATTATTGAGTTTTAAGGGTATGTTTACAGGATATTTTCTGTCCACAATCTCATACTCCGAACGAACAGGTAAAATTTTGTTTAACTGTGAGAAAATAACCTGTATTAGCAAATTTCAATGGATATGTAATTTATATACACAAGTTTACGTGAAAATCGATAAATATTTTACAAGAAAAATTAAATTAATTATTTAGAGAAATGGATTTCTTTTTCAAATCTGTTTACACAGACACATTCGCCGTTCAGAAATAAAAATTTTGTCAATTTTGACCATGCCTCTGTCTCTAATAGCTTTCGAAATATTGGATTAAATATGTTTACTACCCCCGACTTTGAGGCCGATTTTCACCCGTTAAAAAAAGTACGTGTTAAATATTTTTTTGAGATCTACGATATATTTAAATTTCACACGTCAAACTTTCAGCTCGCCATTCGCTGATCCTCGAACTTACACACACACGCGTATATACATATACTCAATGCCCCAGTATACTGAAATACAGGTTATTGGTGGTAAACTCATGGCCCATGATATACAGGAATAAGTTAGAAATCTGTGATTAAAAATGATCTTAAAAGAGAATCATATTTAGGAATGTAGCAATAGAGATAAAGTCACTGATCAGATGTGTAATCTTAGTCAAAGCGATTGCAAGGTTACACCTGGAACAACGATAAAAATCGAGACATCAGGTACCTCAAACAGTCACTCGTATATCCGTTCAATTCATCATCATTTCTGTGACTTAATCCTAAATAAGCTACTGTATATTGATAAAATAACTAATTCTCCTATAAAAAAGGAGGAAGATTTGTAATTGAATACACTGCGTTGCGAGGCCAGCGCCGCCAATGACGTCATACGCTGCTACATATAAGTAGCTTTGCCTCGCACCACGTGCTCTGTTACGTTATACAGTCGAGTATAATAAAGTTAATATACATTACATAGTGTCTTACAAACTGGTGCCTAGTAAATCACTTTATAGTTTATAGAATATTTAATCATACAAAAGATTGTATCGCATTGTGCGTCGCGATCCAAACAATAAACTCTTGTTCGCGACCGTTTCTTGTCAAACTAATATTCAGTAACTGATTCAAAATGATAGAGAGCAAGGTGGTTTTTCGAATGTTAATACACAATCATATCGAACGTTAGACGATTGACTATTTTGTATGATATCGTGTCAACTGGGCGACGATTGCGGTAAGTGTAAATGAACCTTTTTGATGAACGTTTTACGAAAGATGAACTTCTACAGCCTAACTCGATCGCTGTTAGAACTCCGTGTAAGTACGCTGATTGGTTATGGCAAAAAATCTAATTGCCAATCAGTGTGTCTAATAGACATCATCAACGCCCTCTCTCAGTATGTCCTTAGGGCTCCTTTTTCTGGATAGGGTAGGGGGCGATACCTGTTCTATCGCGCGATGTTCAGAAATTTGACGACGGTGCGAAATTTTTGCCAGGTTTTGACACTGTATCGTTAGGAACCGATTTTGAGTTAGCCCTTAAGAAAATTCTAGAACCTACGGATATAAAATAATTTGTAGCTGTAAGAAATACATGTATGTGAAAAATTCAAAGGATAAACTAAAATCGTGAATCTCCTTCGTGATCGTGTGTCATAAACAAAAGATAGAATAGATGATCGCTCTATACTAAACTATGTGAACTATACAAAATATTAAGTGTACCTACAATCTTGAAGAACTTTTTACACTAATTGCCAGAATGATCGATATCTCAATCAACAGATAGACGAGCAAACAACATCAAAGTTAGTATGCTGCTAAACTTAGTATGTTCATACAGATATTGTATTTGTATAGCAAAATGTACACCGTTCAAAATAATTAGAGGGACAGTTTTTCGACAGGAAACACTATCTTAAAAAATAACCACACTTTCACAATATTACAGCATTTCTTTAACCTCAAAATTTCGATGTACAGTACAGATGTTGCTAATTAACAAGTTGTAATATTAATTCATTAGAATTAATTCTCAATATATCGATATTGTGGAGTTCAATAAATATACCACAATGTATATACTTTTTCTTCGTTTTCCAATAATTTTATCATTACGTAAGAAAATTAAACGATAAATAGAGTATCATAGATTGCGAGGTTACTTTTTCAATAATTATTTTATAGGAAACTTCATATTTTTATATACCTTCAAGAAGATCAATTTTAAATATACAGAGGTGCAAATATTTAAGTGTTAACTTTTTTAATTTAAGCACTCTACAGAGGAAAATCACCTTTTAACAGATTTCTCTCTTTTTTGAAGTTTCGATTATTTGACAAACGAGATATGATCTAACAATTTCGAATACAACTTTACCTCTCTCTTTGCTTATCTTTTACATCCTTTCATTTTCCACTACTTTCTACAAGAACTGCTATGAAATATTCTTCTATTTAACTGCATTTAAAGAAAACTTCGACGTGAGCTTCTTATCAAAGAACATTCTCAGAAACTGTTTCACGTTTGAGTATTTATAGCAAGCAGAACATTACGAAACCTCTTGTTCCTTTACCCACTTTGAGAAGAAGAAAAGAATTTATAAATGTATGTACATAAATTGACGTAACAGTCACTTATGCATATAAAATTAATGAAAAATTACGAATAAAATCTTAAAGATATATTTGACTAAAACAGTAAGCAAACGTTAATAAGTTTGTATGCTTATGTAAAAATAATTCTGATAGTCAAACCTAATCCAAAGTAGCAGTTTCTACAAATAATTCTTATACTATAAATTAATTATTTATATCGTTATATCAATTTATTCTACGAGAACGTTATATTTATTTTAACTTGCCTGGTGTTAATTTCTATAAAAGTTTCGCCATTAACGTTTGCAAACGTGTTTATTGGACTTTTTTTTATTTCACGTGTTTAAAGAAATAACAAGCGTTCTCGCGATACAAAATCACCCACAGGAGGAACATTAATCGCGAGCTTTTTTATTTCCATTGCTCGTTACGTTCGATTTTACTATTTGCTGCACATCACCTTTCATTTTGTGGAATCACGTTTTACGTAACCGTTGTACAGAGTGTTCCAGTAAAACCCAAACGCCTAATTATCTCCTTTGTTTTTTCTTTTTATTTAATGCTATGAAACCATTTACAGGATAATCAGCGATATGCACAATGATACTGGAATAATTTTCGAGACATAATCCGAATGATTTCGAAGAAGGAACGCGTATATAAATAATATTATTAATTAATATTGAAATGTAATAGTACAACAACTAGATACCATGCTCTCTAGGAAAAAAGAATACTAAAAAATTGTACGAACATATTTGAATTCAAATGTTGAATACAAAAAATATATAAATACTTCTTGCTCAAATGAAATTCTTCTCGTATGAAAAAGGAAAAAAAAAACGTACATTATATCTGCCATAAGCAAGCCAATAAGTAACAATACTGTGCGTACATATTACGGTGGGAAAAGAAACGCCAATAACTCAAACAATGAAATTTCAGCGAACTTTTGTTGGTTTATACGAGAGTTTGATTTACATGCGAAATCAGTTTTCATTTTCACCATAACAGTTTTTTTTTTTTTTTAAATAAAACACGTAAGTTATATTCCATTTAAAACAATATCGAATATATTTCCCTGAATTTTCTGAAAGTTACCGTGCAAAGAAGATATTTAAAAAAAATTAGAATTTCAAGCAAAAGAAACCTATGAAATGTAAGTTTCTAATTTAAAAATACATCGATTCGTGTTACTTGAAAAATGCACTTTATTTATATTTGTTTATTCCGTTTAAATTTCCGATATTTTTTTCAGCAAAAAATCTCACGTTTCAATCTCACATTTGAACAGAGAAATAATAAAAAACTGTTTATGTTTAGAATGATTATTAAAGTGGAATCCTAAGAGAGAAATGTTGGGAATAAATATTTTTGCTGCACTATGCACACTGGATGAAAGCAGACTTTTTATTTATGGAACACGTTGGTACAGTGTGCATTATTTTCACTGCAAAGTGTAGCAATATGATATTTCGAATTCGTTAAGCTCTGCTTCAGCGTAATTATCACTTCAATCGTGTTCGTTTGGAGATACGGGATCGTGGGAAAGCGTCGTTATTTATGGGAAATGTAGCTGTACGTAATAACTCATTTAATAATGCATACTTTGAAAAAAAAAATTCATTATTTCGATAAATAAAAAACAAATTATTTTTAATCATAATTATGAAAGGAATGAAAATTATTAGGATTGAAAATACAATAATACGATAAAAATAAATCATTAAACAATCACAATACTTATTACGAACAAAGTTTATTATAATATTTTGCAAATCAATATAGAAATGAAAATTTCCCCTGTAAAGACACTTCTGATCAATTTGCGAAACTAATATTAACAGAAGCATTTTTAGTTGAATATCAAACTAAATTATTTATTTGCTCGTTTGTGGATTGTAAGTTTCGAAATAAATTTTTCGATATAAACACCAATTCGAACTGCTTATTTGTAAATATAGTGTAGCGTAGTAGTAAATATGAAGCAGAACGTCGTTAAAATTCATTCATTTGTTAATTTTAATTTTCGATTGAAAAATGAATCTCAACTGATTTTTAAGTAACACAATTTGTAAAAGTACTTATAAGGTTTCCTTATACCAGAGATCGCTATAAAGAGATCGAATCACAGATGTTCGAGGGGTACTTTGCATGTGGTATCAGGCAGTTCTAATTTAAGTATCAACTAGTCAAGTTCGTCTGAATATAAGTGAGAGCATAATATTCGTATTTCATCACTGAACGATATTTTATTCTCGTGAGTAGGAAGAACGAGAGATACAGATAAAAAATGAAATTTGTGGTTTGTACAGTGACAACATGACCAATGAACTGAGTGATCTCCACGTTGGTTTGAAAAATTTACAACTGATGAATTCAGTTCGAGAAGCTAAAAAGCAGATCCGTGCAAGCTTGTGGGAACATACTTGCATCGATTGTAAACGATCCGTGAAATACAATATTACCAAAATATCCAAAACTTTGTAGAATAAAAACCGTGTAATTGAAAATCTTCGTTGGTGGTACAAAGAAGAAAAACAAAAACGAATCTACTTGCGCCATCGATCGAAAGTTTCGATCACTGTTCGTTATGCTCGACAAAAGTTTTCTGTACGCAAACGTACGGGGTAGTATTGTTAGAAATATTATTATACTTATACGTTGAAATACATCGAAATTGTTTATTGAAATAGATAAGATTGAAACTGAAATTATAATCCGACAGAGCTCTTGTCGGATGAATTGGACAGGAATATAAAAAAAACTGCCCGACATCTAAAACAGATCAGCAGAGATATTTATAAGAAGCTTGGAGCAATATTGAACCGGAAACAATTCAAAAATGAATTGGCAGAATGAGGAATTTATACGAAGCGGTCATAGAGAAAATGAGGATCCTTTTGTGAAAACACACTTTTCTAAATTTGTATCGTTTTCCTACGAAAAACAAAACAAAAGTAAGTAGAAAATAATTGTAACTTTTATTTTTAATTATAGTTAAATACAGTTTCATCGCTGTAGCAAAATAATATTTTCGATAAAACGCTTATTTTACTTTTAAGGGAAAATTGATTTGTTTTCAAATCATAACACGCTCTCCAAGCGGTAATGTACAATCGACGAAATGTGCACGAAACAGAAGATTACACATACTTTAGCGGTCGGACAATAGATTCGGTGGGTGGCTAATAATGCCAAGTTTCACCAAAAAATCCGAACGAACTTGTTACTCAACCTAATAAATACCCTAACCTTCTGAAGTTTTGGCCGCCTACTTGGACGAGGCATTCTCCCCGTGTAATATACGAGCGGCGTTGAGAGACAATATGTTTATTTTGTAATCGAGTCGTGTCCCTCGTTGTGAAATAAATATATCGACGGAAATATGCGTGCTATTTCACACCCACCATGTGGCCACCGTGGATGCCGCAGCGGCATGTGTATGACTCTGATTCATCCCGCATACGAAACAGAGGACGAAGAGGTGGAGGAAGAGGAGTCGTCGAAGGAATGCGACCGGTGACCACCGCAAAGAGTCAAAACTGATCGAGTGTAGCGGGGGAACGAAGACAAAGAAAATGGAAAAGACGAGGAGGAAGAAATCAATGGAAAATAATAATAGGGTAGATGAAGAAAATGGAGGAAGCGTAACAAAAAACAGAGGAAGATAATAAGAAGGAGAAAAAAATGAAGACGTGAAGCGCAAGAAGAAGACCACAAGGGTACTGAAAATTTCAGTGAAATAAAAGAGATGAACGTATCGCCAGGGTGGGGAAGATGAGAAAGACTTTGAAAGAATAAGAAGAATACAGAGAATACGTGAAAACGGCGAGGAAAATAAGGAGAGAATGTACAAAGAATATGAAGAACACACAGAGAAAATTTTCAGAAGAAACAAGTAGGCGTAACAATGGCGAAGAAGGCACGAAGGAGATGAAGAAAACGTGTCGAGAATAAAGAAATACGACTACGTCGAAAAGGATCGAGGAAATTAAGAAGAAAAAAAAAAAAATTGCAACAGTATCGAAGTAAAAGAAACGAGGAATATTAATACTAAAAATGTAATGAAAGCAGAAGGAAAAAACATAAGGGGTGGAAGTAACAAAAGAAGCACAAAGTAACAATAAATTACAAATAAAACAATATAGAGTAAGATAAAAAAGTGGTGTGCAAAGATGAGGTTCTAAGGAGAATAAGAAGAAGCGTGCTTTTTAACGAAGAAGAAGAAAGAAATGAAAAGAAGAAAGGCGTTGAAAAAATAGAGAAGAAACTACGATGACGAGAAGGACGCAGAAGACAGGAAAAGAAGAAGCGAATGACGACAATGACGACGTCCACTGTGAAGAAACAAGGGAGCACGATGACGTTTGCAATGACGACGAAGAAGACCAGAGGCGCAATCGGTTGTACGTCGAACACAACGATCTCAATTGGCTCTTTTGCGGTCAGATGGAGGGGTTATGGAAAAGAAGGGTTACGGTTCTGGTAGGGGTTGTTGAATGAGTACCGGGACGTGCAACGTCGCGACGCACTCCGTCACAGTCACCCTGACGGGTAACGGATGTCCGAGTGCTCCATGTTCGCGCGGCGTACTCATACGGAACGGTGAAACGAGTACGAAGAGGTAACGACGAATTTCTTCTAAGAAGAAAAAACCGAAACGAGCGGGCAGCTTAACGAACAGACGGTCGTGTTAGTTTCCAAGGTAAGCGTCTCCATCTCTTTTTTCTTTTCTTTCGTCTGTCGTTTCATTCTTTTTTTCTTTTTTCCTTTCATTTGTCGTTTCATTTTTTTTTCTTTCCTTTGTCGTTTAATGTTTTCTTTTTCCTATATATTTGTAATCTGCCTATATTTGTATCGATAATACCGCGTAGGTGTTCATCCAATGATTCACACCACTTAAAAATTTACACAATAATAAGAAATTCTTTAAATCTAACGAAAGATTTGTCCAAAGGCTTGCGTTTTTATCTTTCGGTGTCTCTGCTTCTTCACCCAATAGGTCTACCGTTAGTTGATTAAAGTAATTGTTAAGTCCCTTGGTATATTTTTTACTAAAATTAGCTATTTCTAATTTTACCATTAATATTTGCAAATCTTTCTTTTTGATCAGTACACCTTTCTCGTATTTCTTTATTGGAATTTGACGATGAACCCCCATAGCTGAATTTCGTATATCCTGATTGGTTTTAATATATACTTATAAAGTAAAAGTTTATTTTTTAAAGAGAATTTTTTATCGTCAAATTTAAAAGTTAAAATTTTCTACTGGAAGTTAAACGCGCGGGAAAGTAATTTATTCATATTTTCTTAAGCTATAAAATAGTATTTACGTTTTTCTCTCTTCTTTTTTTGTTTTTTTTTTGGATTATTAAATATGTCGAAAGGTAATTGAATTTTATTATTATTTTTTTACGCGAGAACTACAACAATTTGTTTCAGATCTTGTGAAAGTTCTGTGCCTTAATTCGTTTAATTTCATATTTGATATTGATTTTCGGAAATCTTCGAATGTTGAACGAAGATGTTGATTTTCGTTTGATATTCATACACTATTCTCTTATTCATTCCCCGTGTCTTTGATTATCGCTTTTAAGTAATAACAATTTTAAACGTTGTATTAAACTGGTAGAACTAATTTTATCGAACTCTACCATGTACTGTACGTAGATTCTATTTCTTGATTTCTTTCAATTTTGACTGTTACAATTTCGTATAATTTCTTGAAGCAAATGTTTAAATTTTGTCCGATGACTTAAATATATCCTAAACTACTATTTGCATAAAGTCGGTGTTAAGAATATTATTTGAAAGATGTAAAAAAACGCGATTAGGTTACAGCGCAAAATTTTATCAATTGATTTCCTTCATCTTAAATGATGGGTTTTAGAAACCGTAGAAATCACTATAATAGAACAAGATAATAGATCTATATAATAGGACCAACAACAATATACAGTAGACTCCCTCTTATCTGGTTCCGTTTTAATCGGTCTCCACTTTAACCGGCCACATTTTTAAATTTCTAAAAAAAGTTAAACATTCCCTATGATATGCTAACTATCCTGTGGCGGAGCATTATATGAAAAAAATAATCGATGCGTTGATCGAAACGCCTCACGAATGTACTAACGCAAGCCTACCTACGAGTTTACACTCCCGCCACATCGTTGCTCCCCACTCCATTCACGACAAGTAGACGTCACTTGCTCTTCGCTTTGCTCGTAGCAGTACTTGCGAGCAACGGAGAGCGCTCTTGCTCGTAAAACGTCTGCCTGAGCAGCTTTGTTCTATATGATAACACAATTTTATATTTTTTGTTTCTTTACTGCCTTCCATATTAATCTATTTTATGCATTATAAAATGTACATTTGTTATTTTTATGTATGTATTTTGTAATACTTTGTGTATTTGTCATTACATGTTAAACAATATCATTTCCTAATCTTTATCATGTAGAATTCGAATCCATAGATACTCAGAGTTAAGTAGAAAAATATGTATAGACGTTACTCCGATTTTTGTAATAAAATTCTTAAAATTTTACTAACAATAAAGCTCAGCGTTACAAGAAAAATGGTATAATCTTCCAAGAATGTTAGCAATAAAGTTCTACTTTAAGATTTCCCACAATAAGTACATTCTCTGTGATTTTTTTTTTGTACTGAATTAAACGATACAAAACAAAGTAAAGAAGAAAAATGTAAAAGGTATAAACAGTTCTCAAACAAAAAACCAAGTTAGCAAATTGATGAAAAATATTCTTTGCACCGTTTAAACCGTTCATGAGTCACTTCCATTGTCAACAAGCCATTCAAATATCAAATACAGTTTTCTATCGCAGCCTCATTCCATGGTCACTAAAATCGGCAAGTTGGTGGGTATTCATCGCTTTTTTTTCCATTGCAGAAATTTCTCGAAAACGTAAATAACGTACCTGGCTGTCGTCAAATTTGAAAATTTACAACCGACCCAATAACGATCGTCCGATTGTCACGATTCTCGGCCGTCATGCATTTTGTGACCAACAGCACCCACGTTTCGATTAAATTTATACCACTAGAGCTCCACGATTACATACGTTCCATTGAACATTTATTATGCTTTCCACAATGCATTTCAGAATTCGCCAAAGGGGACAACGCACCGCTGTATCCAAACTAACGAATCATTTCACAAAAGTGGAAACGTTGAACGAACACGAGAAAGATATCGAACGAGAAGATACTTGAACATATGAAAAGTATGTTGTTCACAACCGCAATGTTTACCTTCATGTTGAACATATTGTGCATGGTGTGCCAAGCAGTACCACTTATTGATCTAAGGAATACATTAGAAGAGAATGTCTTAAATGCTGTGGGCACATCTGCATGCTCATCAACTGGTGGTTGTTGGGAATGGTTACCAGTGCAAAAAGTTCATAAAAGTGTTGCTACCGTACCAGAGAACCTGCCAATGTCAAAGTATTCATTTTTTGCCATCTTTGTGTAATCTTCAGTTTTTCTGTTTTTCTGCAGAATTCTAAGAAATAATACCGTCATGATTTGTAGAATACAAATTCAACGAGAAGCTTCAAGCATAGATCCAAATATAGTACTGGAAACATGGGGTGATGATGCTCCACCATCTGGCAGAAAGGTTCACCAATCATCACTGGCTACCAAACAAATTGGAAACAGACTGTCAAAAAAAGATGTTCTTATGTCTCGTAGTTGGGGTGCTGGTGGCATGCCCTTTTCTGTCCTTTATATGAATCCGCATAGTCCTCGTGGAAACCACGCCAGTAAGAAAATATTAAACAAGACAGAATATAAAAATGTGTTATCACATAAGTATACAAATACATGGTACATGTTATGTTAAGGTACTGCACAGCAACAGGAACTGAGAAAAACTGAAAGTCCGACACCGTCTATCACACATCCTAATTCCCGCATTGCATTGCGCAATGGAAGTTCTACACAATCAAGAAGACAATATCCAATAATTCCACAGCTTTTTATATCTTATGGATGGGGCCCATTTGGCAAATGAAGACAATTTATTACCGAAAATGTTACTATGTAAATGGAAAATTGATCTCATAATTTTCGTATATAAGATCAACTGTAAAAATGTTCACTTATACTATATAATCTTAAAGAAGTGCCATATCTTAATACAATCTTAATGAACTGCATTCTAAACATCTTCCTTTCAAAAAGGCATCCACAAATAATGTGACAATAATTTCTTCAAATTATTCATTGATTATTTGTACATATTTTTCAAATATTGTTCAAATCTTTTATTCTAGTCTGTTGAAGAAGTATTTAATTTTATTAATTATGGATAGTTATTTAAGAAAT